GTTGTTCAATGTCTGGTTATCTCTACCACTACATTATCGACGATTTCGACATCATGCATGTAACATGTGATCGATAAAGCAGTAGTTGTGCTTAACCGGAGCTTCTACCTCCGATTTGTGCTAATCAGACATTGAACAACCGGCCCTTAGACCTCCTCGATAGCAGATCTTGCAATTAGTCTTTCGGATGACAGAAAAGAGACTTCAAGATAGTTGCCGGAATCGACGATAGTCTTACGAAAGACTGTGGTGAGTTGAAAGACAGTTACCAGAATAGTCCTGTATAAAAACAATTGACAGCGCCCGCCTCAATTTCTCATATAACGCAAAGAAGTTGATCCGATACAAGTATGGCCACATTTTAAGTGTAAGCCACATTTTGGTAATCTTGGGATTCTTGTAAGTCTACGTTTACTCGCTATTATATGTATGCAGATTTTAAAGCACTCCTACGTGCGCGATGACTCCCACTGCGTATACGGACTTATTTACTTTGTGAACCTATAGTTCGGCATGAATTACCCGAGTCCAACAAACTATGCCAGTCGTTCCTCTTCTGCGTAGTGAAGCCAAGTCCTTATCCACCTGCAGTCGCATTCCAGCATTCGCTATCGCCAATTTTGATCGCTAAAAATCTCCAAAAGAATAGCAGGCGCTTAACAATATCCAACATCTAGTGAAAATCCCTACATACTGCCAGATTTGGCAGGTTACATTTTACTTCTGTTACTTTTGCATGTTGCATACTTTTGGACCTCAATTTAGAGAATTTTAGCTATGGAAATTTAGCGTAGGGATTGTCAGAATGCCACTGCTGGTCTCTTCATTAGAGCTAGAAAACAATCGATGTTTGCGACTGTCGATGTTTTCAAAGCAAAACAATCGATGTTTGGGACTGTCGATGTTTTCAAAGCAAAACATCGACGTTTCCTCGGTAATGTACATAAATGTATACCTTTGGGGTGAAATTGTAAACTAAACAAAACCATATTTTCTCTAATAACTGTATTTGGCAGAAATACAGGGTGTGCTAGTGTGTACTGCGTATTTTTAATATATCCCTCATCAATAGGTTTTTATTTTAAGAGAACTTTTTTTTGGCGGAAAATTATCTCCATTAGCAATTTATTAAAAATAATGGCGCATACTCATTGATGAAGTAATGTCGAGTCTAATGTTAGGTGCAGCTTTTTTGACAGAGGCCATTGAAAATTATGTCAGAAAGCTATAACTAGTCCATTTTATTTCGACTAGGAATATGCCCCAATAAGTTTCGAGAGGTAAAACCATGAAAGACTTTATATATATGGTTTTCTTGCGACTTTCGAAAAATTTCCAGCTGTTCAGCATACGCTAGAACGTCCATTATGAGTGAAATATTAAGTGTGATTTTTGTACGACGAGAAAGGATTTTATTTCTCAATTCTCTCCTCAGTCCATAGTAGCACTTGTTGGAAAGAATTATTTGCCGTTGGATTTCCAGGCTGACATTATTATTGGCGTTCAACTTTGTTTAAATACCGGAAGTCGTAAGCTGCTTGAACCGCACGCAAAACGATGGTATTTGGTCATATGCATAGACTTCTGCAACCGGAATCATCTGCCAAAATGTAATTCTAATAGCAAATTGGTGAAGCCATCGCACTTACATATACATATGCTTTACTTTCTAATTATAGAAAATCTCAGTCAGAGCTATCGAAATCTTTGCTATCTCATTAAAAATCCAATGAATTTTAAACTCGAAATTTGCTGGCAAATGGAAAACATTTTTTGCCATCACTCAGAATCGAATTTGCCATTGCTGCCACAATAACAGCCCAATGCATATTCATTCATTTGGGAAACAAGTGTGAAGTGTCGAACACTTGTGTTTCGGCTCGCTGCTCGCGCCAAGAGTGGGGTTGCTGACGGGGTATCGGCTGTTGAGATGGAGTGTGGTCGTTGAGTTATTCTAGTTGGTTGACTTCGTTGCTATTGTTTCTGGCTGTTCCGATTGTTTTGGCTAGAAGCAGCAGTGCAGCATGACTCCTGCTGCATACTTACGTAGATGCAAATGTACATATGTATGTATGTGTATATACATATATGTCCCTCCAGAAAAAAATTATCAATTTGGAGTTAGTTTTTGTAATATATATAACTTGTAGTTACCTACAAAAAGCTAACTTGAAACTAGTTGAAGGTAATGCAGGCATAATCAGGATATTGTTTTCTATAAACAACAAATTTTACTTTGAATACACTTTCTTTCTGCACTTCATAAATACTTTTTCGAATTGAGGTCAAATAAAAGGAAGATCGACATTTTATATTATCATTTTGAAGTTATGTCTGACAGAGTTCGAATATGGGACCACCTACAGCAGAATATGTAAACAAATATGAAATGTTATTAAATAAAGTAAATAAATAAAAAAGTAAAAATAAACAAAAAAAAATTTGTTTTTGTTGATATTTTATGTCCAAATGGCATTAGTTACAAGTTAGTTGACATCAAATGCAGAGGTAACCAACCTTGACTATTTCGCGGCCATCGCCATAGAAATATAGTTAGTTTTCCTCAAAGAAAATATACAGATAATAGTGACCTTTAGTTTTTTTTATAATCAACTTCGAGTTAACTTATATATTTGCCGCAGGGGTGCTTGCAAGTGCAATTATGCACATACATCCATATGTACATACATGTAATCTCATATCACCTATACACACATACATGCACCGTACTTGCATGTCAAGCGAACATAAGTGCACACACTACATATGTACATATCAACCAATTTTTTTTGAATAAAGGCATACGCCATATGGTTAAAAAAATGCACCGAAAAGTAGTTTAAAAAACTGGTATAAGGGTACTCGAAAAAATACATTTGAATGTGCATTTGAAAGTTACAAATTATAAGAGTCGTCGTCGCACTATGCTCAGGTGAAAGTTTACGTTTTCAATTTTGTTCGCTTTCGAATGTGGCTTACAAAAATACATACATATGTATATACGTACATATGTACGTATATCCAAGCTTTAATTTCATATTCTACGTCGTGCCTTTCTATACCTCCGTATTCATTTTATCCTTCGAAAATGTGCTCTCGTGCATTAGTAGGATTTTTTTTTCAGGAACAGCTTGCGAAAAATCTGCTTAATTGTTGTTGTTGAAGCCAATGGTATTAAGTTTCACATGGACATATGTACATATGTATGTAGAGATAAGTGCATGTACTGGCTGAAATTACACCTGTTACGAGTTTAAGAGGACTAAAGGCATATACAAAAAATTTGCATGCTATTGAAATCCTGAAAACCTGAATTAGATGCTCTATGAAGTAAACACATAAACACATATGTACTAATATGTACATACTAGGGATGTTGATTTGATAATCATTATTTTTTAACAACTTAACTTGTAAAAACTGCATCAATATTGGTTGAGATGCTCTCCTACCATATAATAAATAAATGGGTTAAAAACCTACCTTTTCATTTAAACAGAATGATTTCATTAGTAAATAGCAAAACAAAAGACAGTAATTAAATTTATACGCGTTAAATAATTTTAGGCAAATAATCCCGGGATTTTCGGGAGTTAAAAAAGACCGGGTTAACATCCTTAGTACATACACATCTATGAACCTGGCATATTTACCAAAAATTCATTTATGGACTTAAAAAAAAGAATTATTATTTAGTAACTTGTCTTACAATATTACATGCTTACATTAAAATTGTTATAGGAGAAGTTCATCAACATCAAATACGTCTGCTCCGAAAGTTATAGCCCTAGAAACTTTGGGTGACATTCTTGCAAATCATTCTATTCCTTCAAAATAATTAGGTGCTCTAAGGAAGTGAGACCCAATATGCCATTTGCAAGAATTTAAATCAAACAGATTTCACACGTTTCCTCACATCAGCAACATTTTTAAAGTTCTTGTCAAACTTATCAGCAATGAATTTTTTTGCAATAATAACGTGCTTTGTTACATACAAACAGTTTTTTATTACTACTTTAATAAAATATCGAGAGCTTATATTCAATACCCTCAATCTGCACTTTTCACAAAAATGAGATTCTGATATAAAAATGCACCTAAGACTTAACTGTCATCTGTGATAACGCTTGAACAACGCTTGAAAGAAGAATTTACTATTAAGTCCCTGATGGGTTCTAACATCACAAAGTAGTTTTTGTGAAAATTGCAGATAGAGGGTGTTGAATATAAGCCCTCGATATATTTTTGTTTTGGGCAAAAATGCATTTTTTGTCAATATAGCTCAACCAATTTATGGTTCTCTGCAATAACAACACAACTCAAAATATATGATAAATTACCATTCATATTTATAATTGACTTATGTTTACTTATTACCAATCCGTCAGGACCGCAATTGAGTCGTTTGTTAGAAAACCGGAGCTGGTAACTTTTATTGCTTTTTTAGCAATAATGTGTCTTGGAACGTAATTATTGTGGATTATTTGAAGTCATTGTGTAGGGAAAATTGTAAACTTATAAATTATGACTGCCCTAGAAAGATTAAGTACGGATTAGATCGAAGAAGTTACTTTGTTTAAATTTTGATTGATTGTAGTTAAACAAGAAAAAGTCCACATATGTTACTGGGCAACGGCAAATCGCGATCTTTTTTCCAAAGAAAATTAAAAACTAGTTTAGTTAAAAACTGTCACCATGACTTTTCCACCTACCTCCATAAAGTTGAAACACTGTGCAGCGTAAGAACACATACATATGTAAATCAAACATTCATTAAAATTGTTGAGAAATATCCATTACTGGAAAGGGAACAATTTATGCGATGTTTTCTGAAGATTATATAGCACACAAAGAAAAAAGATAAATTTTTACCTAATAGAAAAAATATGAAAAAAGTATTAAAGTTTCTATATTTTTGAGTCTTTTCCCGCTCAGGAATAACATTTGCGAAGTGAACGTTTTCGTTTTGGCTTTGACAATTGAAAGACAGATATCGCTTATCACATAAACTCAAGTTGTTCGAAATTGTCGAACTGGTAGGTTGTCACATCAGTTCATATCAGTTAACATACTAGTTCTTTTCTACCAGTCGTTTTACATTTTTATTTGGTTTTTCTTTGCAGAGCTTTTATTAGACCTCAGTATAAACGCCACCATGATCTTTCTTCGAACCCTGGGCCACATCAGCATTTATCGAAATTGGGAGCCGGTTTCAAGATTTTTGTTGGAGATCATCATCAGGGAACGTAAGGGTTTTCCATCAAGCCACTTAAGGTAGTGCAGCGGTCTTGACTGACCCAAATATAGTATGCTTCCGGTGGTGAAATGCATAGTAACCAGATTTTCTTTGAATGACGTATTGGTTCCGTACGTCATGCGGACTGCGCCCCTCGTGCGGATGGGCGGGAATGGAGGGTAAAAAACCGTTGGGATATTATATAAGAAAAGCTTGTTTGACATTAAATAATTAAATAGGCTTCATGGAGAAATTTTTGTATTAGAAACTACTTAATAAATATATACTGATTTATGAACACAAAGTAGTAAAAATGAATAAACAAAAAGCGACTAAGACAAACACATACCTTTTTCCACAACTGAAAATATTCCGTGCATTAATTGTCACTGACGTCTTCACGCAGCCGCCCCGCAAACCACTCCGTTCCTTCGCTCTTAAAAGGTTGCTTTCGATATTGCTGTTAACGTTGGGAAGCCTTCATTTCAATTAAGCTTTCAACTGTAATTAAATCAAAATATATATTTTAATTTAGCTCCTTTGAAACGAGACATGGCAAGTAACTAGAGCTGTACGAATTGTTACCGGAAGAGTGAGTGTGTGAATGGCCGAATGCCCTATTGACTGAAAGCCTAAATGAATGGGCGGCTAACAACAATGACCCGACGCCAAATTAGTACTGGCGTGCCAGTAAATCTTTCTGCGTACAACAAAAACATTCAAGGAACTTCAGCTTTATAGCACTTCGTTAATAAATTGTTCTACATCCATTTTAATTTACAAGATGAACTTTGATAGAGGAGGAGCTGGAGAGAGAAAAAAAGAAAAGAAAAAAAGGAAAGGTATAAGATGAAGAAGAAAATTAAGGAAAAGTACTGAGATTAAATGACATTCAGCATTTATCAATGGGTGCATCAGCTATTTCAGCTCCTCCAAGCGGCAGATAAAAGCGACACTCACCCATTCATTTAATCAGGGATTCAGGTTCGCTCTTCGGATGGTTATTCTGTTGCTCTGCATACGTAACATGATAAATCCTTTCGTTAAATTTTTTGTTGTTGTTATTGTGCCAATTTACATAAACGCCGAAAGAAGCTTTGATTAGATTTTTTTTTGCATTTTGCCTTTTGCTACCCATTAAATTTAATTATCGAAATTGTATCAACAAAAAAACCAACAAAAACAAAAACAAACAAGCACAGTCAAAGGCAGACATAAGAAATGTTTTAAGCACAAATGTAAGAAAAGACTACTTAAAAAGGACCAAAATGTAAAGAGTATATGAGCTTAATTGGATAACGCATCAAATATCCTTTTCAACACCTTACTTTCGAGTTTATTACTCTGCATGCTTCTATGCATCAAATCAGTACGCTTCACTGTCAACTTCTACTACTCAAACTTTTTATTGATCCTGCATATTAGATTTTCCCTCCTTCAGTTAGTGCATTTTTTTTCTAATTATTCTCTCTGCTACTCTCCACTTTACTGGTAATGACATTTCGACCTTTTCGCGCACTCAAGTGTAGAACCCGCTAAACAACTTCTTTCAACAAAAATTTCTGTACCCAAATCAGTTTTTCTTTTGATACTCCTTCAGTCAGCCACGCGTCACTTGCTGCGAAATACACCTGAATATCTTTGCCACTGCGATACGAGTGTATTATGCTTTGCATCTGCATCTACATACATACATACATACTAAACTCATTGACAGCGAATGTTTGCAATTTTCTAAAATAAATTAACTTTTAACTTTTCGGTATATAAAAAGATATCTGTCGTAAATCAGTTTGAGATTACCCAATTGCGAATGGTATTGCGACGGTTGCGTTTTGTGTGGAAAGCTGAAAAGTTTTAACTGAATGCAACAACAAACACAACACAGCTAGAAATGAAACAAACTACTGCCGGCCACAAAAGTAACCCAGCAACAAAACGATTGCTAGTATATACATACGCAAGTAAAGATATTTCTAGAAGATTTAATTCATCGACAGTGCTTTGGGAGCCAGATTATTAGAGCTGTAAAACTATCGATAGTCATCCCATTCGATGTTTACGATAGCTTGCATTGTAACCAGGGGCGAACGCAGGTAGGGGTTTTGGGGGTTCAAACCCCTCCCGAAATGCCTGCTGAATTTCTCTCCTTGTATTTACTTAATTACGTAAACAAAAGCAATACTGTTTTTATTTCCGTAAAAGTTTGTTACGAATTTTCAACTATTCGCAAAAATCTGCAAATAAAGAACAAACCGAGGTGAAAGAGCACAAGCTTGGAAGCATAACCGGACTAAATATTGATGTTGATAGATAACTCATACGCCATGGCATTTTAACGATATACGTTTTCGACCCCGCGCCCGCACTCACAGACACCATGTATGTATGTATGTTGACTTATACTTGCAACAATGCACTTTCAACATAGGCTGGAATAACTTTAAGACCATAAGAATTGGCAGGCAAACTTGAATTCACCTATATATATAAATGTGAATGTCTGTTTGCTTATTACCTTATAACTTCTGAGCCGCGGCACGGAATCGCACGAAACTTTGCATACTTGTTTGCTTTTTCCGCGGGAAGGTTATAGGCATAGAGAAAAATGGGCAGTGCTGGAAAAGAGGGCGTGGCACCTCCTATACTTACTAAAATTTTCATATTGTATATCTCTTGAAATATTTGTGGTAGAGCATTGGAACTTGCTGTCGAGATAAATAAAATTAATTCCATACTCATGGGAAAAAATTGGCGGTATTGGAAAAGGTGGCGTGGCACCTCCCATGGGCGTGAATTATTTAATCAGCTCTAACTTCGGAACCGTAAGTCACATGAACTTGAAATTTGGTATGCAAACATATCTATAGTAGATGCTTATCTTAAGGTATATATAAATGAGTTTGTAAAAGGAGGCGTGGCAGATAACATAGGCGTGGAATTTTTAGTCAGTCATAACTTCGGAACATAAGTCACATGAACTTGAAATGTGGTATGCAGGTATCTACGTTAGGTGCTTATAGTAAAATATATATATAAATAAGACTGTGGAAGGGGGCGGAAAATCACAAAGGCGTGGAATATTTTACCAGTTATAACTTCGGAACCATAAGTCACATAAACATAACATTTGGTAGGCAGACATATCTATGGTAGGTGCTTATAGTAAGGTATATATAAATGAGTTTGTAAAAGGGGCGTAGCACTTATCATAGGCTTGGAATTTTTTGCCATAGCTTCGTAACCACAAGTCACATGACCCCTATAATTCCTTCTGGCGTGGGGTGAAACCCGCGGGTAAAAGCTAGTTTTCTATATACTTTAGTTAAAATTCTGTTCAAATTTCAAGTCATATGAAGTACGTTGTTCAGCAGCCAGCCCTCCTGATATCAATTTATATGCATACTAGCTTTTACCCGAGGGTTTCACCGCACGTCTTTATAAAAATATGAAAAAATTTTTATGTAACGATGTTATATTTCATTTCTTCTCGAATTTTAATATAGCTGTGATAGCATAATAACGTAGAATAGTTGTTTAGCTGGGGTGCTATGAAATCAAAAGCAATAATAGGTTTATAATAAAATAGTTTTAATAAATTATATAGATAATAGTTGAAATACCAAAGTTGTATTGTAATAACTAAATTTTAACTATCTAATTTCTTACTCTAATATTATTCCGCAGCACGTTTTTAGTACTTCAATGCATCTATTAACATAGATGCATTTTCCAATGCAATTATCATAAGTTTTATTTTCGATAAAGAGTTGGTTTTATTTTAAGGCATCCTTTTTTATTGTCATTGCAAAAGCTAAGTGAACTGGAAACTGAAGTTTTTTAAATTCTAAAGGCATATCAGAAGGAATTAAAGGGGTCATGTGATTTGTGATTCCGAAGTTATGGCTGATAAGAACTTCCACGCCCATGTTATGTGCTACGCCCCCTTTTACAAACTCATTTATATATACCTTACTATAAGCACCTACCATAGATATGTTTGCATACCAAATTTCAAGTTCATGTGCCACGCTCTCTTTTATATATACCTTACAATAAGCGCCTACCGTAAACATGTCTTCGTACCAAATTGCAAATTCTTTCGACTTATTGTTCCGAAGTTTTAGCTGATTAAACATTTGCAGGTCTATTGGCGGTGCCACGCCCCCTTGCGAAATTTACGACATAGTTTCAAATAAGAACATACCTATAACCTTCCCGGGATAAAAACAAATAAGTCTGCCAAGTTTCGTGCGATTCCGTGTCGTGGCTCAAAAGTTATAAGGTAATAAACAAACAGACATTCACATTTATATATATAGATAACAAGCTAAGCTCACAAAAAATTTCAATCGATCTGAAGAATGATGGGTTTTTTGGGCATGAGCTCTCCGTCTAGATGCTCTGGTAACACCACTTTATATACATACATACTTTACATAATCCCTAAAAGTACTACATATATACTATATGCACATTTTGGTTTGCGTTTTAAGGTTTTCGAAGCTTTCGAAAGGGGAGAAGTAATTGAAATTAATTTACATATCTATCTGGGAGAAAAAGTGTATTTTCAATGTCGCTGAATCAACAGAGCAAAAAGTGCTACGTACCGAATGCATTCTGTAAAAATAACGAACTATTTTAAACTGATAAACTTCTGCCCCTCCGGCTGCCGAATTTTCACAAACAGCCGAAAATTCCTCTCACGAGTGTCAAGTACGGAAAAAATGAATACGCTCCGGCGCTGGGAAACTTGATGCAGCTGATTCCAGAGTAAGAGTTCATTCCCACCACGCCTTAACTGCAGTTAATGCCTATGGGAAAAGGAAATTAAAACAGCTCTTGGTGAAAGTGGGCTATAAGTTACCCGAGTCCCACAGTTCTCAGGACGTAATGATGAGATAGAGAAAATCTTATTGGAATTTTACTAGCATGTATGAATACTAACGTTCAGGCGTAGTTTGATTAAGGCCCAAAAATGGTCGCTTCCCTAAGTTTAAAAAATCAACACCCTCATTGTTTTCAATATGCCGGTAATTTCACAACCCTCTGCGTCACGAAAATCAAGTTTTAAGTCCTCTGCGACGGAATTTATATATCCACGTCCTTGCAGGTTCCGCTTAATGATGCGTCAAATTTTGGTCACTGTAAACTAAGCGATAACGAGAATTATGAGCTCCTTGAATGTCCGTGGGCACCGGATGCTGCTTTTACATTTCCGCCTTCGACTAAACGTAATTTGACATTTCAATTATCATGTGTTAAAATGTGTCAAAGGTAATTTTCTACATTTAAATTCAAATGCCATGCTAATATTTAAATTAATATTAGCGGTATTCATCTAAACCGATAGCTTTATCAAGCAGATATTCTTATAAATTTAAGAGCTCTGTTACATGACCGCCCCACTTTTTTTTTTGTATACACTTGCGACAGAGTTACATTGTCTTCAGGTTACCAAGATTATTCAGTGATATCGTTGTAGAAATTTATTTGAAATGTGTAAACGAGTTTCCATACAAATTTTGACAGTTGATTTCCAAAGTTTACACAATTATAATTTTATACGGTTTATAAGGTTTGATGTATACCCTTATTATGTTTCTTTACAGGCATTTTTTCAATGTACCTACGGAGCATAGTCCAACACCATTCCTAGACGCTCCTGATGTTTGCAATCAATCACTGTACCTAAAGGTATAGCGATTCTTGCAGATAGGGCCAACACTTCCTGTGACACTTATTTCCAGTGAACGCTCCTTCTTAAGCTTGAATCATATTTACGAAGTAAAACTGGGGAACAAATATTATATGGTTAAGCTTTACTTAGCATCCACAGAAATATAGAAGTTGCGAATAAAGAAATACTGATTACAATATTTTCTTTTAAGTCGAAGCAGTAGAGAAATGATATTTCACATTTTTCATGCATACATATGTAATAACTCGAATTTATTGAAAAAATATAGACATTTTGTACTACCGAAACGCATATTTGGTGCAACTGATTAAATGAAAAAAAAAAATAATAATTTTAAAACCCCTCCCGAAAAAAATTTCTGCGTTCGCCTCTGATTGAAACTATCGATAGTATCGAATGATTTTAAAATGCATTGACGACGCTATTTATA